ATTTTTTAAATACACGAATAATTTTATTATGTATTATGTATGATAGATATGGAATAATCTGAAAACTATTAAACAAAACGAGTCCTAACAAAGAGTCACAACACAATAGAATATCTAAAAAAAAAAAAAAATAGAAATTAAAATCGCTTTTTAAAATGTGTATTAGTACTTGGTTATATTGTTTATAACCAACCTGCAATTATTATTAATTACTTAGCCGAGTACATCCGRCACATTGCTCGATAAAATAATAATATTCGTAGGAAAACGAAATAACAACCACGACTGGCGAACATATAGGTGACAACTATTAACAAATATATTATACGGACACACAAAAAACGGTTGCTGTCATAAACCTAGATGCGTTAAATGCGGTGAAAATCAACTCACGGAAGACTGTTCCAAAGACTGCAACAGTCCCGCCAAATGCGCCCTATGTAGTGGGGACCACACTGCCAACTTTAAGGGATGTCCAGTATACGAGTACAAGGCAGCTTCCCAAAAACCTGCTCCAAAAATTCCTCCAACTAAGCGYCCTGARTTCAAAGATAACTGCACAGCAAAATCTTACGCAGAARCCACCAAACAACAACAAAACACACATACAGAAAAATTCAYCGACACCTGTTCCATGTTTATATCTAATTTAAGCTCATTAATCAATCCTCTTATCTCCCCACTCTACGCAGTACTAAATACTCTCATTGCCAAAGGCAATATTTCCCCATAATTACATTTGTCTSGATTCCCGATTAAACCTTTACATTAAATCACAWATATCATARTTAGATAAGCAAATAGCTAATATTTATATAAATATATGAAATATCAGAATATTATTGTAATCTTAAAATCACCATTGTTAACATTATCCTTAGTGTACTTTAAAAATATTTTAATTYTAATTATCATGTTATAATGTTAAAACTACTATGTAAACTGCAAAATATCCGTAGATTTAGATAGCCTAGGCTAGGAATATCTTATGTTTAAAATAAATTTTAAAAAAATTTAAAAAAATTAACAAATATAATAAATAATATATTTACCATACGACAAATAATATATTTTGTGAATAGTATTATTATTAGTTCTGTTATATTATGATTTCAAGTTCTGCGTATGTAACTCGAAATCTTGATATCTCGTTTTTATCTGATTTTGAAGTTATAATATATAAATTAATACGTTCGAATCGTTTATATTGGCACTAATGGTTATTATAACTATACAAAATAATAATATAATATKGTTCACCGTGGTGTGACAATGCCGAAAATGTTTTTATCGTTGGCGATAATGCTCGTTCAGTAAACAGAGATCACTAATGATGGTAACCAAGTGAATCAATAATAACTGTATCGATGTAACCAGACACTAACCACGGTACACAATATTGAAGCGATTTAAAATAATAACAATAATATTAAAAATAACTACGGATGTGAATACATAGTCGGCAATCTTAACTCAAAGCATCATATGTAAAACTATGCAATACATTTGTATACACTGTAATATCAACCCTATTAAGGTACACTTTATACGATTCATCTATTCGTCTATACTGGCTACATTCTGCACAAAYGTTATTTTTATTAAGTTTTATTTTAATATTATGAATTACAATATTGAGAAATAGAAAGTTAAAATTTTTATTTGTATTTTTAAGAGCCTAACCCAATGTACTTAACTACTTATAATAGTGTACGCAATATACAAGGTGGACCATTGATATTTCACGTTTTACAGAGTCAACCTTGCTGGAAAAAGGGAAAAACACAATGTTGCCTATTATCGGTCACGTAGGTAAATAGTTAATTGCTTTCAATTATTAGGTAGATGGAAAGATAACTATTTACGAAACTTAAACGTAAATCATTGTATGTTATAAAATAACAAATAAAGTTTACTCAATGTCCACCACTAGCTCTATCACTTCCACGAGCAGTGACACAAAATATTTTACCAACGAGATAATATTATGCCACGGTCTTTTTGGGGAATCAGCCTATATAAACAGCTTACATGAAACAACCACAGCAAACKAAAATATAAACTATTGAAATGTCCGTATTATGCTTATGCTTAACGTTTGCTTTCAAAAGTTAGTGATTTAGAATTAGTCTAAAGAGAAATGGCCATTTCATAAAATCTCATTAAGCCTATTTTTTAGTCTTACACAGATGATTTCAACGACTCTTCAATATTCTACCATGTATTATTGCATACGATCTAACTCTGCGAAATGATTTGATTTCAGTATGAAAACTTAAATACTAACGAAGAAGCTCGCTTTTTTTTTATAGTTATGCACTTCCATATAATCTACTTCAAACTCATGCAAGTTCCTTATGAATGATCTCTCAATCCGATAATAACATAAAACCAACAGCGACCGTTAAAATGAAAGTGGCATCGCGATGATCTGCTTCAAAATAATATTTAATCATACTACAACAAATTAAATTATAAATTAAAGGGGAAAATGTGCAACAAAAGAAAAATATATAAAATTAATCAAGTGAAGAACCACTAATGGGTGAATCCTTAAAAAAACTCTTCCACGTCTACCTATTATTATTATTTTTTTTTATTATATAACTTACACTCGGAAACTATGGCAATTAGCTGTTTTTTCTAAGGACTTTAATCGTTGTGTGTATGTGGGTGAAATAAAGGTTGGTTTTTGGACACTCGCATGTGTGTGTAGCAAAGATTTTACACTAAGAACCTAAGTGGTCACCCATCCGAGAACTAGTAGCAACATCCTGCGTTTACTCTCAGATTCACGTTTTGTGATTGATTGCAACCACCACGCTATGTGGCTCAAGCCACCATACTATGCTATGAACTAATAATTGTGCATTTTGTATAGAATGTTTATTTCAAATATTTCAAATAAAAACCTTTTGTATATTATTGTAAACTATAATATGTAATATATATAGTTGAAATATACGTATTAAATGAAACCTAGTTATTCTAACTAGTAATTTTAATAACCTACAATATAATGCATTTTAATTAATGTATTCGTTTTTAAGATCTTTTTTATTATTATTAAAGTTGTATTAAATGATCTAAAACGTTTTTTTTTAATACCTATATAATATACACACACATATATATATATATATAAATATAAGATAAATGTACTAACTATAATATAATTAGGTTTAATATAAAACACTTTATTGGTCAATCAACCTTTTGTTGATACTTTTGAGTTGATAAATCAAAGTTTAAAAACTAAAAATCATAGTTATTTTGTTACATTTCATATTATTTTATAAACCTGTAACACGTAGCTATATATAGGTGTGTTGGAAAAAATATTAAACATCTTAGAAGATGAAGTAAATTCTAAACCCTTCCCACATCATTTTCTTCGCAATAGCTTTCTAAACATTATATTCTGTTATGACTTTTTCACAATGTAATAATATTTTTATATAATATCACAGCTGTAGTAGTTGTAAATTAAAAAAAAAAACTATTTTCTCAATAAAACTGCACATCATATTACAAATCACAGTTGAGCTTTTATTATTATTATATGCAAACTACAWAGGCTAAACAATTTTGATATAAAAAACAATTATTTTTTTTTTAAATTGCTAATATTCTTGAAGGCCACAGATGATCAATGCACTGAATGAAATATTTTTCTCGTTCACAGCCGCTCGACTGCTGTTTAAACTAATATAAGTATTATAAACATATGTCTCCAGTGCCCTCCTACCGTAGATAATTTCATCAGTACAAAGTTTCAAACTTGTAAATTCTACAAACATACTGAAATGATGGATATGCATTGATGGCCAACAATTTCAAGATATTTACGCATAAAAAAGAAAGAAAAAAAACTAAGTTCTGTTTTATAAACCGCTTATAAAGTAATTAAACATTTTTAATTTTATATTTCAAA